GATGGATGGATGGATGGATGGATGCATGCAGATTGTGTTGTTACTTCCTCAAACAAAGCCCGCTGTGTGTGGCAATACCTCTTTATTCTGCGCAGGGTCGCCTTTGAACTGTTCATAAATAGTTCATACTGAAGTCACATTTTAATAATAATAATTTGATACATTATGGAAAAAAAAATCTGAGCAAAATTATCTAATCTAAGACCTACAGTGTGAGTGTAAACCTTGTATTAATTTCCTTACTTCCTGATTCACCTCAGCACCATCTGATGATGTCTGGCACCCCCTAGGAAGGGTGCGCCCCCACAGTTTGAAAACCCATAATAAAAATTTCATTACAACAACACACACATAAATTAATAAATAAAAAAAAATTAATAAACCAATTATTGACTTGAATGGTTAACCCTTTGACTGTCCTTGTTGGAAAGGATTCCTGAGGCCTCATGTCTAATGAGTCTAATTTGGAAAAAAAATTGCACGTCAGTAAATACGTATGATTATATTACATTCACCTAAGTCTTGTGCAAGGTTTTAGTGTAATCTWTATTTGAGAATAAGTGCTTTTGCTTTTAAGGTTCCAAGGTGTTGTGGAAATGTCTTCTTTTTAAAATTAAAAATGCTAAGTTATAAATGCAAGTCTTTTTTTGGTAACATTCAACAGCAACCAAAGACATATTGCAGCTAGTACAGCTTTCTGTAAACCCATTTATTGAGGAAGGGGTGGGTATGCAAAATCAACTTTTTTAGCTTTATATCATGTTATAAAATCAATCTCTGGAAAAAAAAAGTGCCCTGTTGCTTTGACTCATTCATGCATATTTGAGAAATCTTTGAATCTCCTGTGGTAGCCATGTGGATCGAACTCAATCCTTGCTGGTACAGAGCACCACCTATTWGTACAAAGCTCCTCCCTGGAGCTCAGTCTGCAGCTGAGCTCCAGCCCCACAGAGCRCCCCTCCCCACAAGCATAAWTGAAAACATGCTAAAGTGGGATTGTCGAAAGCAGAAGGAGAGTCTTAAAGAGACAGGGGTCAATTTCAARTTGTTGATAGGCTATAAAATATAGTTACTTGACTGTGGTATACAATTGAAATATGTGCTTAGAAAATACATAATACTSCCCTTTATAAAAATCAAAGTGTAGATAATAATAATTCTGTCACAAACATCTTAACTGCCAACTTGTGGCTAAATGCATTAAGTCACCAAAAAATAAATATTGATTCAACTGAGAAAAACCTTGTAAACCAAGTGTAAACAATGTTTTAAATCTCAACCTAGCGAGTTAAATTGGTAATATTAGCCGAAGAGTRGTGAAAGATAGGGTTGCTTATTTGATGTGTTTTCTTGTGTTGCTAATGATAATTAACATGCAAATGAAGGCCCGGAGCGAAATAGGGGAGTTTCAGTTCTCTGTTAGTAATTACTGTGTGACATCAGGATTATAAATGAGATCCCTTTTGGCAGAAGACAAAACAGTAATTGGGGTTTTGACTAAATAACCCGTAACAAAGTATGAAAGCGTTAGACATTGGTGGGGATCATAATGATTACTGTTAATTATGTGGCTGTTCCCAGGGGAAGATGGTCCAAGATGGATATGTAAAATTAGCTCTTTTTTTTGCAGAGAAGTATCCATCCTTGTTATTAATTTTAAAAAGCTCTTGTTCATTCTATTCAACACACTACATAGTGTTTGCTATTATAGGTTTAAATTCAAAGTTAGGATGTAAAATACCATTACTACTTTTTGATTTTTAAAATTTTTATTTAAATAGTTTTATTATTACTTGTTATTTGATTGTGTTTGTTTCATTATTTGCTGATTAAATCAGCAATAATTCCACCAGTTATAAACAAACTCTGACTGCTCAGCTTCTATTTTTAACTCTATAAATCCAGACGACTTCACAGAAACCCCTAAAGTTGGTCCTCTGTCAGTTTCTATTTATTCTAACTTTTTCCTATGTTTGTTTGGTAAATTTTGTAGTAATATTGTTTACTGGCAGCTGACAYGCCTCTCCATTATGTACAAGCGTTTCTCACAGGAAGGGTAAAGCGGATGGAGGCAGGGAGAGGAAACACTGCACCCATTCTTCCACCTGACGCCATTCAGAACATTTCAGATGACTTTACATCTGGCTTGTACATAAATGGAAAAATAAAAGGATCTAGTGTTTGTGCCTGTGGAGATATTCTCTTTACAGTGTGGGAACCTCCTGGTTGGCTTTGTAAGAATTTGTGCACGTCTTAAAACTGATGTGCTACCGATTGCTAATGCAAAATTGTAGGACTAATGACACTGARTTATTTCAATTTTTTATTATTATTTTATCATTGTTTGCAGAAATAATCCTTTGTGTCCGACATGTAATCCACCTTAGTTGGAGGTCATCACCTGGAAAACAAAAAAACATTTTTTTATTTGTCACATAGAGCATTTTGCTGTAACTGGGGTTTATGTTCTTTGTCTTTAGCAATAATAAACATGGTTAAATTTCAAAAGCGATAAGAGGCTAAACAGAAGGGAAATCAATGCTTTGACTCACATCGTTCATCCAGCTGGAGTAGGCGCTAACTCTRGTGAAGACAGAGGGTTTCTTGGGATAGTTGCAGCCCATGCTGGAGCCAAAGCTCACCACTCCGTGGACATCCCAGGAGCCGTCAGGGTTCTGACAGTTCAGGGGACCGCCGGAGTCTCCCTGAAGGACAAAACATAAAGAGAGTTTGTGTAGAACCTGGATTGAAAAACAATAAAACGTTCCCCAAAGTCTTACATTGCAGCTAGCCAGATTTCCATCTCCTCCAGCGCAGATCATGTTGGTGGTGACCAGATTACCCCACCAGTCACTCCTGCTGCAAGTGGCGTAGTCAACGACGGGGAGGAGGGCCTGCTGCAGGACATCAGCGAGAGGTCCTCCAGCTTTATTAAGGAACAAAATATTCAGGTTAACACATGAAGTTTACTCCATTGTATTCCAAAATTTCACCTACCAAGGCTAGTTTTGGATTTTATTTTTGCTAAATATTTCCTTTTGTCACATACCATCAATTTACAATTAAAAAATGAAAGTTGAGTAGTTTAAATCGTTAAACTCTGTACAGCACTTTGGCTAACTAAGGCTCTGTTTATTCAGAAGTAAAGCTTGTCTTGACTAATCTGCAATAACTTGATTAGATGAGAGCTCCAAACTAGATCTAACAGTTTTAGTAGTGCTCAAGTGAGCTAACAGTTTATAATTAACCTCAGAGTAATTATAGGAGCCTTGAATAAAAGGAACTTTAACATCAYATATATGCGACTCAAAGTTTTTGCTGTGGAGATTCAGACTTGATGTATCTTTGCTCTTATTTTGCCAGAAGAACTTACTCCAGAGGCGTCCCCAGCCAGTGACGTAGCAGGGAGCATTGTGAGGCAGGACTTCTCCAGCGGTGGGAAGACAGGCAGGCTTGATGCTGTCCGACAGTTTGACAGGAGTTGCCAGCTTGATCAGGGCAATGTCATTGCTGAAGAAGGCACACAAATACAACATTCATGACGGCRGCAATGAGATGCAACATCACGGATGAAARGTCGAGGCAGCAAATCACGTTGCACACTCTGTATAGTGTCAGCTACGTTTCCCGTACAGGATTCTGTAGGAGTCCCATTTGGGGTGGACAATGATTTTGCCGGGGCTGATGGCGATGGAACCAGACTCGCTGTTAATGTTCAGGTTGTGTTTTCCCAGATAGACTCTGTAGGTGCGGCTTCTATCTTACCACAAAGAGAAAACAGAGACAGATGCACTCAATTTACTAAACCAGATCGCATAAGGTACTTGTAAAATATGATGTCATTAGTATTTCAAGAGAGCAACTGCTGCTATTTTTTATTTGATTTTATTGATCAAACATAAGAACATAAGTGACCACAGTTGAAACTTGGATCTGCAYTATGCATGGAACAATAGCATCTTTATTTTAGCTTCATTTTTCTAATCCACCTTCATAAATACTTTTTCTGCAATGTTTGACTCTCATCAGCACTATATTTTCACATTTGATGAAGCCCTCTTTAACTTAGAAGTATATATATATWTTTTTTTTCTTTTACCCGATGCAGTGAGCAGCAGTGACAACCCACTGGTCAGAGATCAGAGTTCCACCACAAGTGTGGTAGAAAGAGCTACCACTCTGGTACTGCAGAGACACCTGAGGGCAACAGCACACACATTTGATGTTTTCAGAAGGACGTTTCATTTTAAAAGCTAGAATGAAGGGTGAATACCTGCCAGGGCCAGCTGTGCTGACGGACATCATCTCCACCAACGACCCTGCTKATGATGGGGGGGTAGGTGGGCCGGCCACAGGCGTAGGCTGAAAGACGACATTAGAAAACGTTGCATTTCATTGCAGTGTCCTAACACCAGCAGTTGTATTACATTTCTCAGGTTTAGGCCGTTCAGTATCACATGGCATGACGTTTCATCAGCTTACCTCCGGCAACGAACAAAGCCAAGACCAGAAACTTCATCGTGACTGTCTGTGACTTTCACAGTCTTGCACCTCCTTTTATACCGCGACACTTTGCAAACTTCCGACGTGTTATTTAGGATTTGTTTCCRCCCAGCCTGGAAAAAAAAACTGTTTAACCTTGGAGATAAGAACAAAGATATCCCAAAATACACCGTATCTTTTCTACCTCAGCAGTACCTGTGTGAGAACCAACCAGATGGCTTACCTGGTGTGATCAGGACTATTCACTA